GGCCATTTAGCCATGGGTATTATGGTGACAGTGTTTTCTCTTGCATTGTACTTTCAGGTGTTTGTAGATCCCTATTTCTGCTGCCTCAATTTGTAGCTTAAACCTTCTTCTGCAGCGTGAATGTTTTTCCCAGTTTTATGCTTCATTAGGCCTCCAGTGGGAATAGAGTCTGAGCTGCACATCTGGCCCCAGCTGTGCTGAGCCCTCAGGTGGCCATGCTGCTGCCCAGCTGTCCAGTGCCTGGGTTCCAACAGGGGGTTCCCTCCTGTAGATGGGAGCTTTGTCTTTGAGCAAACTTCCCAGCTGTGGAAACTCTGGCACCACTTTAAAGATCAATGCATTCATTGGCAAGGGATGGGAAAGGCAAACTCCTCTACACAAGGATTAAGTCTTATACCAGAAGCCAATTGTCCTCAGCCTCTGCAGTGAGGTTATCTCCTAAAGAACATTCAGGCTGTTTCCCAGTAGTGCCTGTGCTGGCGGCATCCAACACGTTTTAGTTAGGAAGATCACATCCCATCTGGCCGGTCCACAGAGTTGTACTAAATTTAAATTTCTTCCATGTCTCTGTCATACACATGAACGCTCACACACACACATACTTGTGTGAGAAGCACTCACACTGACTCAGTGTCTGATGGAAACAGTGTACACAGCTGATAAGCAGATCCTGGCAGCACAAGGCACTGAAGGACATTCCAGAACCCCAAGGGCTGGACAGGCCAGTGTCTGAAGCCAGAACATAAGCCCTGCTCACTTGTCCTTTCCTGCATCTGACTGGAAATGCTACAAACAAAAGGAAATATTGAGTGAAATTAATAACCTAATGAGGATCTTGCTTGTAAGTTTAATAGCAGCATTAGTAATGAAGCAGCATTTTATTGGGTTAACAGAAGTTAAGTGGCAATATTAGTAAAGTGGTCATTATAGATTTTCTTCCTTGCAGGCAGTGAACAGAACCTTCTGAAAGGATGGATTATTATAACTCCTCAGCATTCACTGTTTCTTAAAACAGGCCTTTCTGAAAGTTTATATATATATATACACACACACACATATATACACACACACACACACATATATATATACACATAAATTACCACTTTTTCCAGGGACCCCTGTTTGAGGCATGAGTGGAGAGGCTTCATCTTTAAAGAAGCCCTTACAGGGAACTCTGTCGGTTGTTTGAGGCTTGCTGCCAACAAACAATTGAGGTATTTACCAAGGGTTTCCAAGAAATTGCTGCAAATTATATGAAATGTTATACTGGTAACAGACGTGCAATGTATTAGCAACAGAAAAAAAATGTAAAGTGTGTGGGAACAAAGTTGCAATCTGTGAGAAAATGTTCAGTAAGGTAGGTGGCGATGAATTTTAATGATGTGTCATAAAGAGTCACACTCATGAATACAGAAGGGAAGTGAAGTGATCTGGGACTTTTGAACAAATTTCTGAATACTGGTCTGGAATCACTATGGAGGACCCTTTAATGTGATCCAGGAGAAAGACTCATTTGGAGACAGAGCTGGACTCCCGGAGCCCCTCCAGGTGGAACTCACTCCACGCAGTGCTCAGACTCGGTCCCACACTCCTGATCCCTGATCCATCACAGCCCACCTCTTGGGCCAGTCCTGTGCCATTGGGAGTTTCATGGAATAACTACAGTTAAGGGCTTCCCTTACAAGTGTTCCTGGTAACAGTTAATACCTCCCCTTCTTTTATGATGAGAAAAATGGTCAATGATTCATTCCCTCGACAGAGAAGGATGGTAGCACAGTGAAATCAAGAAACCCGGAATCATGAAAAGTCTTTCCTCAGCTCACTGCAGTGAAATCCCTATAAATGCAAATCACTCTGCCTTCTCCTTACCTTTAAAAATAAATGAGGATGAGGGGGTTTTAGGATGAGGAGCAGCCTTGGCCCCCAGGGGGCTTCGGGGAAGGATGCATGTGTGTGCATTACGGGCAGATATTCCAGACCCTCGTTGTCCTCCCTGGCTCCTTGCTGGTATTGACTAGTGGGGCTGGGCTTGGGACAGGCCTTCATACTGGGGGTACCAGTCCTATCCAGGTGTTTAGGCCTCTGGCTGTCACTGAAGTTCTTGATTCCAGGTATTTGCTACTGGCTGTGAAATCCCCACTTAGGATAGTCTCCTGAGCCAGGCCCCTTGCTGGGACACTTTTGGATTCCTCCCCAGGAGAACTGCCTCAGCTCAACAATCCAGCTGCTCCTTCCAGCTGTGCTAGAGCTTGCCTTCCTGCTCCCAGGCTGCATGCTGGAATTGGTCCCTGCCCCTGGCAGACTTCTATAGGACCTCAGTTTCTCTCTTCTCCTTCCAACCCTCTCTTGGCCTGGCATATCCCTCTTCTCCCAGAGGGATTCCCTTATGTCTTACTCTCCTTCTCCAGGGAATTGTAAGCCTTCAGGCTCAGCCTTTACGAAGGGTATCCTTTCCACATTACGAAAGACCCCCACTGAGCCTGCAGGTGAGACAGGTGAGGCTGTCTAGGAACTGAGGGACAACTAGGAACCAGGATATTGAGGAGGACAAAATATTTGGCATCCTCAAAATATTATTCCCATCACATATATATATATATATATATATATTTTTTTTTTTTTTTTTTTGAGACAGAGTTTCGCTCTTGTCGCCCAGGCTGGAGTGCCATGGCACAATCTCGGCTCACGGCAACGTCCACCTCCTGGGTTCAAGTGATTCTTCTGCCTCAACCTCTGCAGTAGCTGGGATTACAGGCATGCACCACCACGCCCGGTTAATTTTGTGTTTTTAGTAGAGACAGGGTTTCTCCATGTTGGTCAGGCTGGTTTCGCACTCCTGACCTCAGGTGATCCACCCGCCTCAGCCTCCCAAAGTGCTGGGTTTACAGGCGTGAGCCACCGTGCCCGGCCAACTTTTCACTGCACACTAGTTTAGAAGAAAACTAGGTTAGTCTAAAGCAGGTTAGGAAATATTGAAATCATTGAATATGCCACAAAATTGAACATCTGAATCTTGCCAGATTTGTGCTTCATGTAAATCACTGTGAATGACGGGGCTACTGCTGAATTTGGGGGATCTGGTGACTCCTCGGCATTTGTGGTTTATGGTCTTACTGGAAACCTCTTTCGATGGTTTTCGAGCCTGTAATTCATGGTTGTATGTTCTGTATTTTTCCCAAGACCACTGCTGGAATCCTGTATTCACTGCATAATAAGTATTTTATTTTTAGATGTGGATCACCTCTCAGGGAGGGAGTTTGTGGGAAGGTGGGTAATGAACTATTTTTAATATAAATCACAAGTGTCAAAGAAAGTGGTAATATCCAAAGAATAAACAAGAGTGACCACCATTCAGGTGCCGAGAAGTTATCTGAAGCTCCCACAGCTCGGCATTTTAAACTGTGTGATAGTATTTCAACCATTTGGTGAACAATGAAGACAGATCCAAGGATTGCCCCAGTCCCACAGCTCGGCATTTTAAACTGTGTGATAGTATTTCAACCATTTGGTGAACAATGAAGACAGATCCAAGGATTGCCCCAGGCATGCTTACTTTCGGTCCTAACTCCTGTGTTTATTTGATTCAATGAAGGTAACTTCTCAGGCCCAGGGAAACACTTTGCCCTTCAAGTTTCATTAGAAAACCCCAATATACTGGTGACTAAGTAACAAGACTGAAACTCTACACAAACTTTTGTTGTATAGAGACCTCCGCTTTTGTTGCCTTAGCTGAAGTATTGTAGAGGAAATGTATAAAACTTAAAATCCAGGGTAGAGGATCTGGGACTCAAAATCCGTATTTAGAAATCGACGGCACTTTTACAGACAGGCCATATTAAAACACTGACGAAGTCCCAGGCTGGGGGTACTAGCCGGCTATCTGCCCACACAGTATGTAAATAAAAGTAGGGTTTACCATCCAGGGCATTAACATCATTTTCCATGTCTTCAACATCCATTAAATGCTAGTACTGTATGAGAAGCGTGGGCCTTAAATATTAAAGATGGCTTTTTTTTCTTATTATTTAGCGTAGAAACTAGCGACAGGGGACAGGTAACTGAATTCACGGTCCACTCGCAGGCGCACACGTCCCCAGGGGCTCCGGGACGGCCGTTCCCTGCGAGCGGCAGCGGCCGCGGGACTACGGACAAAGCTGCAGTGTGGTCGGGAGCGCGGGGCCGGGAGCGGGAGGCCGGTCCCGCTGCAGGAAGGGTGTGGCCGTAGGGTGCAGCGAGGACGGTCTGTGCGGGACGAACGTGCGCAGCGTGGAGTCTGGGGGCCGAGAAGCCCCAGCTGCAAGGCTGGCTCCTGAGATTCGCGCCCCGGCGCCGCGGTGCAGGAACCGGCCGCCCCCGCGGGGACGCCCTTGCGCCGGGTTCTGGGCGCGGATAACGGGCAGCTCCGGCCCCGCGGGCGCCGGGCCGAACCCCACGCCCCCTCCGGCCGCCAGCTCCCGTCGCAGACCGCGCAGGCGGGGCGCCCAAAAGGGCTTTTTTTTTTTTTTTTTTTTGGGTCAAACTTTGGCCACGTGAACCGCCCCTCATTCACTTTTGCGCCAATCGCGCGGCGCGGACGGATCCCGAGAGGGGCCACGGCTCGCCGCCGGCGGGGCCACTTCATAACGCGCTGTGCGTGACGTGAGGGGCTCCTGTGGCAATGGCGAGCTAAGCCGGAGGATGTGCAGCTGCGGCGGCGGCGCCGGCCACGAACAGGACGGGGGCAGGCGCCGTGCGAACCGAGCCGAGCCAGCCGGGGGACGCGGGCAGGGCGAAACGGGGGCCCGGACTTGGCTGCCGCTGCCTTCGCCGTCGTGCCGGCCCCGTGCCCCCGCGCGCGAGCGGGAGGAGCCGCCGCCGCCTCGCGCCCGAGCCGCCGCCAGCGCGCGCCGGGCATGGTCCCTTCTTAAAGGCGCAGGCAGCGGCGGCGGGGGCGGGCGTGCGGAACAAAGCGCCGGCGCGGGGCCTGCGGGCTGCTCGGGGGCCGCGATGGGCGCGGCGGGCCCGCGGCGGCCGCGGCGCTGCCCGGGCCGGGCCTCGCGGCGCTAGGGCGGGCCAGCCGCGCTAGGGCGGGCTGGCTCCCTCCGCGGGCGGGGGCGGCGGGCTGAGGGCGCGCGGAGCCTGCGGCGGCGGCGGCCCGGCGGGCGGAGCGGCGGGGGCATGGCCGCGCGCGGCCGGCGCGCCTGGCTCAGCGTGCTGCTCGGGCTCGTCCTGGGCTTCGTGCTGGCCTCGCGGCTCGTCCTGCCCCGTGCTTCCGAGCTGAAGCGAGCGGGCCCAAGGCGCCGCGCCAGCCCCGAGGGCTGCCGGTCCGGGCAGGCGGCGGCTTCCCAGGCCGGCGGGGCGCGCGGCGATGCGCGCGGGGCGCAGCTCTGGTCGCCCGGCTCGGACCCAGATGGCGGCCCGCGCGACAGAAACTTTCTCTTCGTGGGAGTCATGACCGCCCAGAAATACCTGCAGACCCGCGCCGTGGCCGCCTACAGGTGAGCCCCTGCTTCCCGGGCACCGCCTCCTGCGTCCGGCATCCTGTCGGCTGGCATCCCGGGTCCTCTCCTGGCTCTCGCGTCCGCCCGCTTCCTAGGCCCTTCCTGGGCTTCCGGTGGGATCGGCTTGCCTCTTGGGAGATGCCGGGCCGAGGGAGAAAAGATCAGAGGCGGGATGGTGAGCGCAGCGCTCAAGAACATGGTCTTTGGGGTCACATAGACTAGTGTGGCCTCACTGGGTGTGCCTCTCACCCTGATTAAGGCACTTTAGCCTTTACAAATCGAAGCCTCTCGTTAAAAGGGCCCGACATATCGGGTCTCCCTCATGATGTTGGAAAACTCATAGCACAGTACCTGATAGTGGAGGCAATTGGGGCTGTTACTGGATTCTCTAAAATGTGCACCTTTGTCTTTGTAAAACTAGAGCCCGTGTACATTAATCTAGTTCTAGAACCTTTCCATATCATACTCTCACATTTCGCAGTTGGAGGCACTCCTATAAATGAAAGAGAATGCCCGCAGCACCCTGGACCACTCCAGTCTGTTGAGTAAAGAGGGAGAGAACCTTGGAGAAAAGCAGTTCTTGGCCGTTGGTAGATACAGTGGAAAACTGCATTCTGGTGTTAATTAGTTCAGCTTAGTGGTGTATGCATGTTATCCAGTAACTGGGCTCTAGTTGGCCAAATGAGTCATAAAAGCAGCTGGAATCGTGTCCAGGTTTAACAAAGGGATTAGCCAATGTAGTCTTTAGAAGGGAGATGATTTTGGAATGGCTGGCATGGTTAGAATCAGATTTGTATTGGAGTGAATTTGAACTTGGAGAGGGTTGTAGACTCAATAAAGGAATTTGATTGAAACCCTGTATGTATGAAGTATAGAAACACCGTATGGATAAAGTTTGGGTCTTATTCAGCCACAGAACAAACCAATGTGGGGAGTGGTTTTAGAGCCTGAATGGTCTGGGAATGAAATTTCAGAGCAGCCAGTGCTGAGCCAGGCTAAGCTGGTTGCTGTTTGTTCTTATAACGAGTACCTTTACACTTCAGTTTTTAAATGCAGTCTTGGTCAGATTTTTCAAGCATTACATATTGTGAGGGGAAAAGCATATATGGTCCCCCTTGCCTTTAAGGGAGGAAGTAAAGGACTGAGAAAGAAGGTGAAAGCGGTCTTCAGTGACTGCCCCTTGAATGGCTTGATCCCCATTCCTGCACGTTTCCTTCAGGGTCCTGCTTAAGTCCAGAGCCCACATTCCGCCAGGAAGGGTCCCGAGTGGCTGAAAAACTTAGAATGCAGGTAGTGTAAAAACAGACTAATGTAGTCCGGGCGCTGTGGCTCCGCTTGTAATCGTAGCACTTTGGGAGGCCGAGGCGGGCGGATCACCCGAGGTCAGGAGTTCGACACCAGCCTGACCAATATCGTGAAACCCCGTCTCTACTCAAAATACAAAAATTAGCCAGGCGTGGTGGCCTGCGCCTGTAGTCCCAACCACTCTGGAGGCTGAGGCAGGAGAATCGCTTGAACCCAGGAGGCGGAGGTTGTAGTGAGCCAAGATCATGCCACTGCACTCCAGCCTGGGCTACAGAGCGAGACTCCATCTCAAAAAAAAAAAAAAAAAAACTATGTATCTATTTATCGATAGATAGGTAGAGATACATGGGCTAATGCAGCGATTTGGGAACCAGCTGATCAGAATTCTCTCCTAGATCTACCTTGCATTACTTGAGGTTTTATGGGATTTTTTTTGACCGGAGAAACAGCCGCATCAGAAATCAAGGATGAGCCGCGTAAATTATTTACAGCATGGTTTTGAAAGTAAATCCGCATGACTCTAGTGTGGTGATAGACCATGTGAAATAACAATTTTGGGGACAGTTACCAAACTAGTTAGTACAAATAGTAAATTAGGTGACTCCCTTATCTCCCCCATGCCCCTGAGCAAATGCATTTTCATGGTTGCAGTATCAATATATTCAAATCAATGGGGGGCCTAATGCACCAGCAATACTCAGAAAATGTAATGCAGGCTGGGCGGGGTGGCTCACACCTGTAATCCCAGCACTTTGGGAGGCTGAGGCGGGCGGATCACGAGGTCAGGAGATAGATACCATCCTGGCTAACACTAACACGGTGAAACCCGTCTCTACTAAAAATGCAAAAAAAAAAAAAAAAAAAAAAGCCGGGCTTGGTGGCAGGCGCCTGTAATCCCAGCTACTGGGGAAGCTGAGGCAGGAGAATAGCGTAAACCCAGGAGGCAGACCTTGCTGTGAGCCGACATTGCGCCACTGCCCTCCAGCCTAGGGGACAGAGCGAGACTGTCTCCAAAAAAGAAATGTAATGCAAACTAGAACTACTGTTTCACACTTGGAGATGGTTTCCCAAACTCGAGCTACGCTTACTTTTGGCCTCCTTTCCACATCTCCTCCCTCATCTTTTTCTGGATGTAAGATTTAATTTGTTTTTTTTTGGTTTGTTTTTTTTTTTCTGTTTTTCAGGTAGTTAGGGGAAGCAGAAACACAGTTTGCCCCCAGGCCGGGTTCTCCCTTCATTGTGACACCTCTGCCTTTCTGAGAAAGGAAAACGCCTACCAGGAGGTAGTGTCCAGCTAGTGTCACTCCAGCTTTCTCGCATAAATTTCCTTTTATCTCTCAGATCTTAAGAAGTCAGAGTACCTGGAGCCTGGAGGTGGACCTGCCCTGCCAGTTAGGGTCGTTTGCCTCTTGCCTGCCAACACTGTGTTTAGACTGACTGCAGGAGTTGGCATAAGACGATTTTAGCCTTAAGGCTAAAAGTTAAGGAACTTTTGGGGAAGGCCTCAATTGGGATGGAGGTTATAGGGTATAACATATGATTACAGTTTTACTGTACTCTGCAGCCCAGGCCAAAAGTCTGCACTGAGCTCTTAAATTGGAAATTGCATGCACAGTTCAGTATAAAAGTAAGCTTGATTCTTCTAGCACAAGGTAGAACTCTAGTTTGGAAATCGATGTGCTGAGTTTTACATTTCTCCTGAAAGGTAAATTCATTCTTTATCTTAGAGAAAACTCTAGTTTTGTTTTTTAAAAAAAACAAAAGCAACTGTTGTTTGGCTTATGGATGAAGGAGATGCCAGCAATTTCAGTAAGATGATACTTTGGTGTAGAATACTGAAAATGTCAGAATTTAGGTCTAGGGACTAGTAGCTAGCAACCACTTCTTTCCGACAACTGTCTGAGATCCAGAAAGGGGCTAAAAAAGCTTTTGAAAATCCAAGGAGATATGCCCGTCCACACTAAAGGCACTGCACTTTGATGATAGAACATCTCCATCATTACACATTTTTACTTTCTAGACCTGCCATCTGCTTGAGGGGTGGATGGGGGCCACCAAGATATAGCAGGGCAGTGACAGCTGACAGCAGACAAGAAACAGATTTTTCACAGCAGGCAAGACAAAACTCAAAATGTAACAGGTGAGAAACCAGCCAGGACTGACCTTTGGAGGCCCTGAGTGATACCGTAGCTGTTAAGTTCATAGGAGTGATCCTGATTCATTACTTAGGATCCATTTCTTTGTAAAGCACATGCATGCATGGCCCCTCTGGGCCCAGACCCTGAGTCCTGGGGGAGACTATGATACATGGCTTGGTCTCGTGTTCTTTAGTCAGAGGGACAACACTAAAAAGAGGGTTTCTGCTAGCGATGGGTGCTGTAGAGAAAACAGAACAGGGTTGGGGCAGGTCACGTGTGCCCTCTCTGTGTTAGGTGATCGGGGAAGAGTTTGGAGACAGTGGCATTTGGGCTGAGATCTGATCATGAAGAGCCAGTTGTGTGAACATCAATGATGAGCATCAAGGCCAAGGAAGCGCTGGGAAGTCCCAAGGCAGGGACCGGCTTGGAAAGGAACACCAAGAAGGCCAATAAAAGAAAGGGAAGGGGCCCGCTAGTGTCCACTCATTCTAAATGAATTAGAAAGCCACTGGAGGGTTTATTCGGGAAGAGGAGGTGGGTAGCTGGGGTTCTGTAAATTAACACAAATAATTTATTTTGACTCATCTGCAAATTATTCGTATTCTAGGTAATTTCGCTTTAAAATGGTACTGTAATTTCTCTGAAGTCATTTATTATGCAAATTAAGGACAGCTTGTCAGAACCTCTGGGTTTCTTGTGTCTTGCATTACTAGCTGCAATTCGTATTTTTCCCATATTTAAAAATTTTCTTCTTAGTTGCGTTCTGTGACATATGGAAGGGAAGTGTTTATGTAGTTCAGTCTATGTCTTTGCCTTTTTGATTTTAGGTTCCCCTACCCCAGGTTCACAGTTACTGCCCTGGAGAGATTTTTAAAGGTAATGTTTCCTTCCTAATTCTGGAAAGGGTAGAAATCATCTCAACTTTATTTTTTCCCCAAATAGTATGTGGTCGCAGCACCACGTACCGTTGACTAAGTTTTCATTTCCCTACCAATTTGAAATACCATCTTCATCATACTCAGAATTCTTGGGTATGTTTCTGGACTTCATGTTTTGTTCCATTGATCTTTCTGTCTGTTCTTGTGCCAGTACCACCCATTGAAATTATTGGAGGTTGAATAATATTTTAATATCCGGTGGACAAGTTCTCCTTTGTTATTCATCTGCTTCAAACATTTCTTGGCTACACTTACCTTTTCTTGCTGAGAGAGTTTTCATGCTATTTAAATTTTTTTAATCAACGTTTTGATAAAAAGAAAAAGCCACACATATTTTGCTTATTTGTCCATTTTTATGCCCAGAACCTTGAGCTAATTCAACACCTTTTGTTTGTTTTGGTTCTTACCCTCTCTGGGCTGAAGATGGGGAATAGTTTTGTCCTTTTTTCATGTTGTCAGAAGAAAGAGGTGGATGGTTTCCTTTCTTTGCACCAAAATTGAACAAGGGCACCATTAAAGATTAGCGTCAGTCTGTAGGGGACTGTGGGAAGAAAGTTTGAGAAACATTACCTTGAGATATAGGAATCTTATTTCAAGATACTGTTATCAGTTAATG